TCAACAATTAAGGGTTTGAAAAACCTAAAAAAAGATGATTTTTGATTGATAAAAAAAGAACACTTAGAGTAATATTTAATATTTTGAAGAATGCTACTTTTTAATGATAAGCAATGATATAAGATAGCAATAAAGGCTATAAATGATTAGCTAATTTAGTATTTTAAATTTTAGTTAGCCAATCAAATTTAAATTTATTAACTCTAATGAATTCTATTATCAGAGCTGAAATATGGAGAGAATTTGCAGAAACCGTTCAAAGTCAATTTAATTTAATTGAATCAGAAAGTTAAGCGATAGAATTTTTCGGATTCCAACCTGAAGAAAATAAATAAATTACATTTTTTCTAGACAAGCCTTAGTGGCCACAAGTATAGAACTTTTAATAAGTGCCAGACAAGGAATAATATTTAAAAATCTACAATATTCAATTAATACTTATTGAAAACAGAATACTTGAAAAGAGAAAGTATAAAGATTATTAAAATTACCTTATTATAAAGTATACAATATAATCCATACTCTAAAAAAGTATGTAATTAGGTTTCTTAATAAAGATTCAATGAAATTAAATAAAAATCAAAAACATTTTCAATGAACTATGCTTTGAGAGAGTATAATATTCATAATTAAATTAATTAAATATAACCTATATTTGACATTAAAACTACTATGTTTGTTTTTGAAAATTATTAATGATTAGATTTTTCATTTTCTTGATCCTAGCAAAGCTATGGCTACTTAATAATAAAACTACATTTATTTATAAAAATCTAATTATATTTATAAAAATTCATATCAAATTATCAATCAATTCTAATATTTTAAACATATAGAATAATGATATTTTATCTTTAACTTCTTCATTTAAAAATTTATTTGTAATTTATATTTTAGACTACATTATATCCTTGGTATTATGATGAAGTTAATATGTATTTTAAAAGTATTTAATATATTAAGATTCCATAATAGAATTTATAATTTCCTTTTCAATAGAATTTAAATCTGATTCAGTAATTTCAAACTTAAAATCCTTTTCATACTCAATTATTGAATTTTTTATTAAAATTTTAATTTAATCTGAAATTTTTTATTTAAATTATTACTCTTACTAATCTAAAATATTTCTTTATTTCTCGACTTCATTTTGGTAATCCAAATTCAGTTTTGAATTTAAACCTAATTATTTACTAATAATTGGAATGTAATAGTGTAATAGTTTCTCAATTAACAGCTATCCATGCTTACTTCCACATTCAATAATTTGATCTATTTGGATATTTATTTATTCTATTAGTTTCTATCTGTCATAATTATTATCATCATCAATATCTAAAGATTAAGAAGACTTATTCTGAATATTCTCTTAATAACGATATTATAATAATATTTTTTCTATTGATTTAATGATTTCTTAAATATTTTAATTGTTTTTGCATTACTCAATTATTGGTTCTAATATTTATTATTTATTTTATGGCGTTTTTTTTTTTAAATTAATATTGCCAATACATTCTTCCAAAAATAGCTTGACAATATTTTTAATTTAAGTAGTTGCTTAAATTACCTTCAAACCACTTTCATAACATGGACTTTAATATCCCGTGAAAAGTATTTAATATGATAAAAATTGATAAATGACACTAGGACTAGCACTATTTTAATCTAATATGAGCCATATTCTATTTTAATCCAAGTAATTATGTTGAATACTCTTAGATTCTAAAAACTTAACCTTTTATAATAATTTTAGACATAAATCTAGTAATTATCCTAAATGAATTCTAACTAAGTTATTTACCTAATGATTTAATATGATTCATTAATTACAATCCAAAATTTCAAATCTGATAATCTAATACACCTTTAATGATTTATTTAATATGTAATTGTTTTTTTATTGAAATTTATATCTGGTATTCCAAAATCATCAATTTCAACAACTTTTAAAATTTCCTCTAAGTTGCTAAAAGTTTACCTCTCTTCAGACTAATAATTTAATTTTAGCATAATTCTATTAAAAATAATAATAATTTTCATATATTTATATATAATTAGAACTAATGATTTCACCTAAGATTTTAGTGACTTTTGTAAGTAAACTTTAATTATATCTTTGACATTGAAATTGATAAAACTAAAATTATTTATTTAGATTCTCTCTTGATTATATATTACTGAAGTTACACATCATATAACTCCTTCTCTCAACTATTTCTAAGAACAGGTTTGGCCTCTCTCTCCAAAAAGGTCAATTTTTATTTTTTAAAATTAGTAATTGATTCGATTAGGATAACTATAAGAATTTTTTCTAATAATAGAAAAATTATCTTAAATTAACCCTTAGAACCCTTGATTGAGAAAATGTCTTCCTTTTATCTTTGATTTCTAAAAGTAAAAACATTATTTTTACAAGATAATGGCCTGCTTTGTGATATCAAAATAATTTCCTAAGGAGTTCTTACTTTTAATGCTGAGAGATTTTCAATATATGTATATAATTATTAAATAAAGAAAAAGCATAAAGACAATTAATGTAAAAAATAAGACATGATATAAAAAAACTAAATCGAAACATGACTGAAAATGTAATCGTCAAAGGATTAAAATATTCAAAACTACTAAGCAATTATACTCAGAATCAAAAGTAAATTAAACTCATCACCCTTTACAATATAAATTCAGATAAAAATTTTGAAATTTAGACTCGAATAAACTGATTATTAATCTTTACCTATCTATATCAATATATATTTTCGAATTCTAAATGATTGATTAATAATCTGAAAAATAATGCTTTTAAGTAATCAGTTAAATCTATTTATTTTGCTTTAATTAAAATTTTTATATAAATCCTAAATAAAACCTTCTATCATGTATTTTACAATCATCAATACAAGAATATATTTTTAATTAAATCACCCATCAAATTTCTGTGAATTACCATCATAACATTGTTAGGTATTATCAAAAATAGTTAAATAAGTCATTTATCCTTTACTTTTCTAATTAGCTAATTCTTTTTTTCAAAGGCTTAAATAACTATTTTTTCGACCTATACTAATATTTAGATTCATAACATTGTTATTGGCAGAAAACAGAGAAATTAAATTTATGTAAATAATCAAAAAAATGTAATATTCATTAATTTATGAATCTTAGTGATGATATAAAAGATAAAAGAATCCAAAAAGTTTCGACAAAATATAATAAATAAAACATTTCAATTTTTTAGGTCAATACGGACAGAATAACTAAAAGATAGACTTATGGAAAGCCTTTTGGAAAGGAGGAGCTTAAAAAAATGTTTGTGGATAATTTAGTTGATATTAAATTATACTTTTTATCGAGACTATATTCAAATAATTGTAAAAAGATTGGTTAATGGAATGAAATAATAAAGAATTATTAGAGGTAATTCGAAATTATAAATAATAGCAATGCCTAAGTTTACTAGATGATAGAATACTTTAATGGCTAGAGAAAAGGACTTCGGCAATATATTTAATGAGAAAAAGAAATGTAATCTATAAAATTAAGAATTAAAAAGTGGTGGAGGAGAATATAATTAATAAAATTAGAAAAATGGCAAATGAATTAAGTTAAGTGATGAATTTTGGGATCGATCTTAAATAACTTATAATGGTGAATATTAAAATGGAAAAAAGTTGGTTTTTGGTATATTTGCTTGATTGAAAGAGCAATCTTTTTTGGTTTTAATTATAAAAAGATGTAATAATTCCACTTAATAATAAAATCTTAGTGGTGGTGGGAAATAGAGATAGCAAAGAAGAAGAATCAGATTGTAAGGTTGGTAAGCGAATTGAATTGGATGAAGGGTTAAGAAGGATTCATAAGTCACATAAATTGGTTATTCTGAAAATAGTGGTAGATGGGATATTTTAAATAGAGGATCATAAATGTAATTATATTATAACCTAATTAAATGCAAAATTTAGTGGTGGAGGATCATATATTTTTTAGGAAGATATATGGGAAATTTTATATGAAGGTAATTAAATGTAAAAATTCTTATAAATATTAAATTCAAATTAGTGGAGGTGGATTGTATGATGACAATGTAGCAGGAGATTCAGTGTAGGTCAATAGTGGATTGAATTGAATGATTATTTTTTTGTTGATTCTTAGGTTATTTATGAAGGTTATATGTTAATGGAAAAAAAATTGGCCTTTGAAAAATTTAATATAGGAAGAAAAAAAGGAGAAATTTTTTAAAAGATGTAAATAATAATATATATCATTGGTGGTGGATTATATGGTTATAAAATGACTGGAAATTCAATAAAGAGTGGTAAATGGATAGAATTAAGTGATGGGTTTATTTTGGGTTAAGGACTCGTTTATACTGATGAATATAGGAATAGTAAAAAAGTTGATAATTGGGTGGAAATTAATTTTTGAAAAATTGAAAAATACTTATGATAAAAATATGAGATAGGAAAATTATAAAGAACTAATTTAGATTATAGTGTTTTGAAATAATATTCTCATTTTTAAACTTAATTTTAAAGTCTTTTTAAAATTAATCCAGCTACTTATATATCAATATTATTGAAAATAGTTCAGATGGAAATTAAATTCTATTAAAGAACTCATAGATTTATTAACAAATCATTATATCGAATGAAAACTTAGCTAGAAATCTAAATCATGCGAAAGTGTTAATACTTGTAAAAAATTATTACTAGATCAAAATAAGAGAATGTTAATTAATTTTGGTTATACTTTAAAATATAGAAAATACAAATCCTTGCTATAAATGTTAGTGGAACATACGAATGAAATTATGATAGAGTTAGAGTGATAGACAGAAGTTTCTGAAACATTTTGAGGCTTACTAAGTACTTATAATAAATGGTAGACCTTAAACCTTTAATAAAGAAATGATGGATTTACATTAGAATTTAAATAGACGTGTTTCAATTTTTGGAGATGGATTAATCAATAAATAAGAAGAAGAATGTGATAATCCAAATGAATTAGGATGTAATAATTGCAAAATATGCCATGGCTAATTTATTCTATTTGAAAGACTTGTTAAAAATATTGTGAGGATTTTTAAAGTATAAATTAATTAAATCTCATATACCAAGTTTAAGATAAATGTTTGCAATGTGATAATAATTGTATAACTTGTAAAAACTAATCAAATTTATGTACATCATGTTAGAGAAATGATTGCGAGTTGTGTGAATCAATTCCTGGTTATTATACAGATTATTAAAATAAAGTTTGTATCACATAATGTAGAGATGGAATTGTTGCTTATGAATAAGAACATTGTGGTGATGGGAATCTAGAAAATGGAGATGATTGTGACTCTGAATGATGAAAAGAATTATCAGAAAACTTTATTAATAAACTATAACTTTGGTAATTAAACCAAAATGGTAAATTTAATCTTTACCTTAATAATTCATAATATAAAATAGTATTAAATTTTTTAGATCCTAAAATTATTATTGATGGTATGCAATAAAAGGATTTTTAACATAATATATCAGCTTACAATAATACCTGCAACATCAAATCTACATTTTATTAATCTATTTTCAAATATAATACAATTCATTTAACTCTTACTGCTTCATTCTAATTAAATAGATTATTTTTGGAAAAAATAAGAAATAAAATTCAGCATACAACTTTAAGAATAAATCATACAGACAGAAAGTGAAAAAAATGGCCGAATAAATTTAAAATGCACAATCAAAATTTAATTTAATTTTTCTTATATTAATTCCTGTTTCCATTATATTGAACCTTTATGATTGCTCATATTACATTTAGGCATCTTAGAAATTTTAAGATCCTCTATTTTTTATTAATATTTAGATTTCATTCATTTTTATTTTCATTGCTTCCCTATTATCCTATTATATAGAGTTATTTCTTTATTCTTATATAACTTTAAAATTCTCAATTAATTTAAAAAAATAAAATCAATAAAAATAAATCGTAAACACTTTAGTATTTTTAATTTACAAGCTATAAAAAAATCTCATCATACATAGTTGAATAGCATTAGAATGAGAAGACAATATAAAATGATACCTTTCTAATTTCGATAATAAATAATTTTATTATTATGGATAAAAAATTGAAAAATAAATTAATATAAACTCTTTCACTATGTTTACTAGTTATTATAATAGAAATTAAAATTTATTTCAAATGCTCTTTTGCTTAATAGAAGATCATAGATTAATCAATTTTTTATTTATCATGATCAATTTTATTTAATAAAAATAAATTATTAATTAACTAGCCTTACATTAGCGATTAATTTCTATTAATATCATTTTATTTTAAATTTATCAATAATATAAAACACTAAACCTACATATATTACTTGCAGAAAATAGATAATACAAAGAATAATTTGAGGTTTATTATTAGAATATTAATACCTAATAATCATTTGGGTATTATTTTAAATTTTTTGGATTGATTAGAACAAATTAAAATATTATTAATCCATTAGTTAGATCGTAAGGGGAGTATATAAGACCATTAGCAATAATTTCTAATTTTTAAGGTTCATTTAACTCCTCTACCTTTCAAATATTCAAAAATCCTTAGAAAATCAATAAAATAGAACAATTGCTTTAAAAATAGATTTCATTAGGGAACTCTTATAATGAAGAGTTCGAAATAAAAAATTTAACTCTGAAATTTAATGATAGACGGATAAGAAAAAGTGTATTTCTAAAAAGAGTAAGCGTTTTAGGTTATTTTGCTTTAGCTAATGATATTGTAAATCTTGATTCTTAGATTATCAACAATTAAATTGATAAAAATATCTTGAAACTATGAAGAGTTATGATATGATAGTAAATATTGATAAAACTAAATTATGCAAAATTCAAGCTTAAAGACCTTCAATATTGAAAGAACAAAATAATTCAAATATCTAGGTATATAGTTAAATAAGAGAGAGGTAATATTAAACCCACATTATATGTATATAAAGAGTAGATATACAATTAAGAATAACGAATTAAAGCTTTAAGAGCATTACTGGAACCCAGTCAACAATAAAAAATAAGGATAATCTATATCAAACCAAGTTTGTATTATTTGAATACATCTATGTAGCAAGAACACTATCAAAATATTGTACTAGATAGGAAGAAAATTATAATAAATACATTGAAGAAATTAGGGGAAGAGATATTAAAAATGTCTAATTATTTATGAAAAACAAAACTAAATTATTTAAAAGTAATAGCTTTATTTCATAAAATTAAATATTATTTTTAAAAAGATATTAATATGTTAGTTTAACACTATGAAAATATTTAGTTAATTACAAATATTTAAATTTAAACATTTATTTTTAAAAGATATAAAGAATTAGTTTAATATTAACAAATAATTATTTAATTTCAATTATTTCAATTTAAATATTTTTTTTCAAAGATAAGGATATTTTAATTAATTTTTTATAAAATCACTCACTAAATTTCTCAATACTCGAATAAAAGATGTTATTTGACATCATCATAAGAACCAAACATGTTTTTCAATACTTTTAACCATCAATTATTGTCAGCTTAGCATTTTCTTGCCTCATAAAGATTAATATTTAACGATAGATATCAAAAGTTGAAGACTATTTCATCTATTAGAATTATACCCTCTATTTTATGAGTGTATAAGTAATAATTAATTAACAATGAATTCTTTATTTATCATTCAAGTTATATTAGATCATTCTATCTTAATTAGAAGAATAATTATAGTTCTTTGACTATATTCAAGATATATGTATTTAAGAGATACTATATTATATTCTTAGATATAAGGCTCTTCTTTAATATTATCATGTTATAACTGCTTTAAAACATTCTTTAATCTAAAAACTAGATTTCATAATTTTATGAATTGACATGCCATTTAAAGCTAATAGATATAAAAGACATTCTCTAAAATCTCTTCTAAATTTTTTTATTAATCTCTTTTGATTTTTCACCAGGCAGGCAGTTTCAATTTTCTTACAATATCTTTCGGAATTGCATGCTCTAACAAATATTGATATATATATATTGCTTATTTAAGCAATTGATTTATTATTTACTTTCAAGTTAGCAAATATTGTACTTTATCAAATTATAGTTTTTGAGTTATTGATTGTTATATAAAAATCATAAAATTACTCATGAAACCACTCAAATAATGCAATGCAATGCAAGGAATCGAAAATGATCTTTTCCCAAAAAGTTTTATCTTAGAAAAAATCAATATTATGCCTATTAAATAAGTAAATGTTGTTTTCATTAGGATTATTTGGTCACCAAATTTAAATGATCATAGCAAGCATATTTAAACAATCAATAAAATCGCTATTAGTATAAATATCATTATTTTCATTGAAACTACCATAATTTTATTAATAAAATAGTTTTTGATTATAATTGTTTTCTTGCCCCATGACCGACCATAAACAAATAATAAAGAATTTTTGCACAATATCTATTTTGCTAAAATGAGCATCTTCTATAACGTTTCTCCCAGTATTAAGTAAATTAAATTAAATTCTTAAGTTTAATATGCTTGGTCCAGTATTGATTTATCCCTATTTCATTAAATCATATGAGTATGCTTATTAATATACAATTTTAAATTAAATTATCGTTTTCTTCCTTTTTATTTTCAATCTGGTTCAAATTTAGACCTTACTATACTTCCCATCTAATCACTATTACTAATTTCAACTTAGAGATCATGAAAATAGCTCTTAATTGTTAATATCAATATGTAAATTGAATTAATCATGCATTTTATTTTGGTTTTTGAATAACTAATCACACTCACCCAATGATCCATCCAAATAAACGCATATCTCATTTTTTACGATTATTTATTTACTAATAGAGAAAAAGTT